ATTATTGAAAATTGAAACAATTTTACACCTGAATTAACAACTTCCACTTCAATATTATTCAATAAATATATTAATATGAAAACGTTAACTTTATATTCAAAAATTACTACATTCCTTCTTTTAATATGGATGTATCAGTGTTTTTATAACGTAAGTTAAAATTTTTACAAAAAATATACATATAGATATATTTTACTTCTAATTATTCTAGAAATTCCATTTGATTTACTATTCTAACAAAAGAAACATTCTTTTAAAAAATTTTTATTTAATCCATAGTGTTATTCTTATAGAACATGGATTGATGAAAATATATTGCAAACAAAAAATGAGTTAAAATATGAAAGAGTATTAACAGAGGGTAACACAGAAGAAAAAAAGCAAACTAACGCTGAAGGGTGCCTAAAAGAACGTCCATTAGATAATGAAAAAAACAAATGTAAAAATCCGATTCAATACAAGAATCCGTACGATCCATGCCATGGAGCCAATACTCCATCATTGTCGGAGAGTTTTGATAGAAAAGCAAAAGAAATGAACCCTAAATTGAGAGACCAGAAATTGAATATTGAATGTAATAAAATTTCAGCTAACCAAGTTAGTGACCTACATTTTATCTCTCATGGACCTGATATTCCAGATGAAGAAAAAAGCAAAATAACTGATAGTGCTAAGAACCAACATGACTTTAAATTGGATGAACGTTTATGCGAATCTAATAAAAAAATGAAAGACAATAAAACAGAATTCGATTCTAATAAAGAGCTGAGAGGCAATAAAACAGAATCCGAATCTAAGAAAGAGATGACAGAAAATAAAGCAGAATCAGAATCTAAGAAAGAGCAGAGAAAAAAAAAAAAAAAAAATATGAAATTTGATTTAATGAAACATTTAATTTTTCATAAGTTTGATAAAATTTACGATGATAAAAAATAATGATTTAACAGAGAATATAGGATTATTAATGCACAAGATTTACTTAAAAAAAAGAAAAGTTAATATTTTATCTAAATTTTTTTTATAGAGATATATTTTATTTTTTATAAAAAAAAAATTAAATGAGAAAAATTTTTTAGAAAGAAAATGTTTCATGTGAATATTTTTTAATTTTTAAGAATAAAATTTTCGTTAAGTGTTATTAATATAATTAAATTTTTTTTTTTATTTTTATGTATTTTTATTATTTTCAAAAGCAGTGAACTTAAATTATTGAAAATTACTTATAAAAAGCAATAAATATTTTGTACTTAAAAATTAATAATTAATGAGAATATATGTTTTTAATAAAAATACATAATTTTTATCAAAGTAAATTCACAATGAACCACATTATTGCAGTTAACTTGTTTGTAACATTAAAATTATATTTAAAATCCAATTAATTGCTAGAGAAAACTCCATATTTTCTTTAATAATTTGTTTTTCATTACTCTAGCAAATTCGTTGAATGATAATTTAATAAATTAAAAATGTAATTTATGAAAAGTAAATAAATCAGATAGTAAATGTAGACGATAAAATAGAAGAAAAAAAGTTGGACGCAAAATTATTACGAGCTTATCTACATGACAAAAAAAAGGACACAAAAAAGAAAAAAAAAGTCTTTATTGAGAATTATTAGAGTTAAAGATTTGTTAATAAAAGGAATTATTAGCCTTCTTGAGAAATAAATTAATATCTGTATGGAAAATAAATAGACATGAAATTACTAGATAAATGAAAGAAAATAGAAATGAATAGTGTGAAAAAAATATTCAAGTTATTTAAAAATAGAAGAAAAATTGATAAAATTTTTTTCGTCGCAAATTTTTATCTTTTAATTTTAAAGAGAAAATTTTATATTAACAATAATAAAATTTTCGTGTTTGTAGTATTGTATAACTTATTTTGTGTTTTGTTATTTATATTTGATAATTCGCGAGAAGTGAATTTGAATTGTTAAACATTAATCATAACATTACAAGTAAAATATATGTGATTTAAAACTATAATTAATAAATATTTAAATTTTTAATAAAAATTAGGGAATTTTATTAAAATAATTAAATGCCTCTTAAAAACAATAAATGCTCAATGAAGGAGACCATATGCATTTCAATGGTTTTTAGTTTTTTTTTTTTTTTATTTTTATTTATTGGTAACAATTCTTTTTCCAATTGCTTTTTTTTTTTTTTTATCAATTTTTTTTTTTCCTGACGGTCTTTGTATTTTTTTTTAAAAGAAATACAAAAAAAAAAAAAAATTGATCATATTTTTTTTTTTTGTGTGCATGACCAACTTCGTATTCTACATTTAACTAGTCCTTTTATTTTCCAGAGAGGTTAATAAATCCTTTTATTAATCAGTACTCTAACAAAGTCACCGAACAACCAGTTAATAAAACACATATATAACTGTTCTATTTTATAGTGAATAGATAAGTTATTTATTCATACTACATCTATTGGAATATTATTTTTCTCATATATATCAATCATATCTTGATAAGATGAAATAACACAAAAACTTTCATAATCCTCCAATGACTTAATGCAAAATAAAATTATGTAGTTATGATTAGTGTCATTATTTATTGATTTGATTATCAAATAATCTAAACATTTTTGAATTATCTGAATCAGTTCCAATTCTAAATTAAATTATAAAAATTTTAATTTCCATCCATATAATTTTCTAGTGTTAATAAAGTCTATTCCTATAATGCCCTTACAATAAGTTTTAATTAATACCATAAATCATTTAATATAATAATCAAATGTTTCACACGTTATAACTATTGAAAACAATTTTTTTTATTTTGTGCTCTATTTCCGCTGAATATCACTAAGTTTTCTTGACGTATATTTAACATATCCAGCCTTACTTATATTGTTTATATTGGTTAATACATTGCTCTATAAATAATACTATTTACAATTTTTGTATAATATTTAGACGAATAAATAAAATAAAAATATTTTATTTGGTGCATGCTAATAAGAAAGGACAATTTGCTATAATAAATGTTTGCTCTAAAATAATTATACAAAAAGTATGCAAAAAAAAATATATGTATATAGATACTTGCGCTTAAAGTGAGAACACTTAAAAAAAAATAAATAAATAATAATTTTTTTTTTGTGTGGGTATTTAAATTTAAAAAAAAATATATATTATGATGATATTTTTATTATTACAAAAAAAAAATGTAATCATAAAAAAAAAATTAGTTTTTCTTTTTTTTTTTGGGAGGGTAATGTGCAGACTACTATAGAATGTATATTTTTATTTTAAGCAAAAATGTAATAATAAGGAAATTACATTTTAGAGTGTTGCTTATATCAAAAAAAAAAATAATTAACTGATAAGTCATATTTAATTTTTATTAATAAAAATAAAAATAAAAATTGTATATTAAAATTAAGTAGAGTTTACACTACATTTTTCTTATTAATTTATTTGTTTGGCACGAGAAAAGTAATTTAATAGCCATTAATAAATCAGAGCTATAAATAATTTCTTTTCATTAGGAATATTATCCTATTTATAATAATTATAATAATTTCAATACTTCATGAAATGTTATCTGGATAATTTAAGTTTCTATATCTCCAATAAATACACTATTCAAATTATTTTAATATCATGTAATACCTATTTTAAATGTGATACACTTTTATATTTTACATATTTTTAATGGTAAGAACAACTTCTACATATAATATTAAAAAATTATAAATAATACAAAATGTAATTTTTTTAAATTCATGATTATTTTTTAGAGAAAAATTAGCATTAAAATATTAAAAATGATAGTATTTATACACACCACTTTTCAATAATAATACGTCAAAAATTCTAACAAATTAAATTAAAAAAAAAAAAATTCTTATTAAAATTCTCTATTCACATTTACAAAGATGTCTTATAAAATTTAAACTTTTAAGAAAAAAGTTATATTAGAAAGGGACAATTGTTGAATTCATTTATACGATATAAATGATTTACCTAAATTTCGTAAGTAAAATGAAAAATAAAAAATTGTGCTATAAATATATAAAACTAAAAAGAAAAAGAAAATAAACACATCGTAATAATAATCAAAACTTATCATATAAATATATAAAGGCAAAAAAAAAAGAAAAGAAAATAATTTTTTTTTATATTTAAATAGAAAATTATAATAATATATATGCAAAAAGATATTCTATAATTCTGTTTTATCTTTATTTATTGATATTTTATATATCACGAAAAAAATGCATTCTTTTGAACATTATAAGAAAAAATCTATTATATTTAACTAAAGATATATTTTTATATTCAGTAAATAACATTTATATTAAATTTGAAACTGATAAGTATTACTCGTAAAATAGTAAATTTACAAAAATATATTTTTAGAATAAAATAAATTTGTCAAAAAACTTTTTTTAAAAAATATCTTTTACTGTAAATATATGATTAAAAACATAGTATATTTTTTTTTTTTTTAAATTGTCATTAATTTATTTGACTTTTAAATGTGCTTTTTATAAGATTTTTATTATAATTTCTTAAAAATAAATACCTATCTTCACTTTTTCTTTTGAATTTAAGTATTTAATAAATTTTATTTATTTTATTTCAAATAGTTGAAAAAGTAATTTTTTTTAAAAAATAGTTATAAAGAAAAATAAATATATATATATATATTGAATAAACATTTATCAATAGTAAAAATAAAAAAAAAAGAAATAAGATAAAAAAAAATATATTAGAAAAATCAAAAATGTTACATTTAAAAAAAAAATATACACAAACAAAAATTACTTTCATATTAAGTGAAAAATTGTGACAAATGTAGTATGCTGTATGAAAGATACATGCGTATAAAAATTTTTAATTTATAGAGTTTTTTTTTTTTTTCTTTGATGGAGATATATCTCTATAATATACGATGAATTATATTTATAAATCATAATATACCATATATAAAATAATTTAATGTTCGACATAATTCACAGAGATTGGTAATTTAGAAAAAAAAAATAAAAAAAATCCTTTAACATTAAATGCATATCATTTATAATTTTTACGTACATTAAATTAAAAATATTTTATTTTTTTACATAATTTAAAGATAAATAAAATTTTAATAAAATATTTTTAAAATAACTTTATGCGATTTATTATATTTTTTATATATTTGTAAATTAACATTCTTATTTTATTTTTTTAAAGAATTAGGAATATTATTCCTATCTAAAGTAACCATTATATCATATGTAATAATAAAAATTAGAAATTGCATTTCATATATGAAAATTATTTTCTATTTTAAAAATTTAAGAAATTAATATAAGTTATAATAATATCTAAATTAATATACAAATCCATAATTTAGTATTATTGAAAATTGAAATGATTTCACACCTGAATTAACAACTTCCACTTCAATATTATTCTATAAATATATTAACATGAAAAAATTAACTTTATATTTAAAAATTACTACATTCCTTCTTTTAATTTTGATGTATCAATGTTTTTATAACGTAAGTTAAAATTTTTCAAAAAATATACATATAGATATATTTTATTTCTAATTATTTTTAACATTTCATTTGATTTTCTATTCTAACAAAAGAAACATTCTTTTAAAAAATTTTTATTTAATCCATAGTGTGATTCCTATAAAACTTTTATTTATAAAAATATATTGAAAACAAAAAGTAAGTTGAAATATGAAAGAGTATTAACAGAGGGTGACATACCAGGAAAAAAGCAAACTTACGGTGATGTATGCTCAGAAGAACGTCCATTAGGTAATGAAAAAAACAAATGTAAAAATCCGAATATATACAAAAATCCTTACGATCATTGGCAAAGAGTCCTTAGTCCATTCTTATGGGAGCAATTTAATCAAGAAACAAGTGGAATGGACCCTAAATTAAATGAAAAAAAATGGAATGTTGAATGGAAGGAAATTTCATCAAAACAAGTTAATGATCTATCTTCAATACCACGTCGACATGATATTTCAGAAGAAGAAAAAAGAAAATTAATTGATAATGCCACGAAAAAACTTCTCTCAGATTTTTTAAAATTTTTACGTAAATATAAGGATGAGATGAAAGACAATAAAGCAGAATCTGAATCTAAGAAAGAGATCAGATACAATGAAACCGAATCCGAACCTAAGAAAGAGATTAGATACAATAAAACAGAATCCGAATGTAAAAAAGAGATGAGATACAATAAAACAGAATCCGAATGTAAGAAAGAGATGAGAGACAATANNNACAATAAAACAGAATTTGAATCTAAGAAAGAGATGAGAGACAATATAACTGAATCCGAACCTAAGAAAGAGATGAAAGACAATAAAACAGAATCCGAATCTAAGAAAGAGATGAAAGACAATAAAACAGAATCCGAATCTAAGAAAGAGATGAAAGACAATAAAACAGAATCCGAATCTAAGAAAGAGATGAAAGACAATAAAACAGAATCCGAATCTAAGAAAGAGATGAAAGACAATAAAACAGAATCCGAATCTAAGAAAGAGATGAAAGACAATAAAACAGAATCCGAATCTAAGAAAGAGATGAAAGACAATAAAACAGAATCCGAATCTAAGAAAGAGATGAAAGACAATAAAACAGAATCCGAATCTAAGAAAGAGATGAAAGACAATAAAACAGAATCCGAATCTAAGAAAGAGATGAAAGACAATAAAACAGAATTAAAATCTAAGATGGAGCTGGGAATAAATAAAATAAAAAGTAATAACTTAAAAATTTTGAAATCGCTTACTAATAAGTTAGATAACCTTAACGAGAATAAAAATTAATGGTTTAACAGAGAATATAGATTTTGTTATGCACACGATCTAGTTAAACAAAAGAAAAATTAATATTTTGTCTAAATTTTTTTTATAGAAATATATTTTATTTTTTTAAAAAAAAAAAAAATTAAAAGATAAAAATTTTTTAGGAAGAAAAAATTTCATGAGAATATTTTTTAATTTTAAAGAATAAAATTTTCATTTAGTAATATTAATATAGTAAAAATCTTTTTTTTAATAATTAAATATTTTTATTATATTTTAAAGCAATGAACATGAATTACCGAAATTTACTTATAATAAGCAATAAATATTTTGTACTTATAATTTATTAATTGGGTGTTCGGTAACTTTGCTGGAGTACTTAACAAACAAATTAATAAAGAGCATGTAGAATTGTTTTATTAACTGGGTGTTCAGTGTCTTTATTAGAGTATTGAACGAACAAATTAATAAAGAGCATGTAGAGCTGCCTCTACGGTTTTGATGTATTTATATATATTTCTTAATGCTTTGAACGAGTGAGCCTTAATTATGTAATCTACTTCATTCAGAATTCTTTAATTTCAATAGGCATTTATTTACTTTAATAAAAATCCTTATTTTTATAAAAAAATTTAAATCCTTATTGAACGTTAATTATTAATTAATTGTAAATTACTAGTTTATTTGTTATGAGTTACATTCAGCAATTAATATACATTGCTGTTGAATTAACAAACATAAACAATTATTGACAAATATAAAAAATTATATAAATATTGATTACATGAAAATTTTATTGTTATTTGTGTAAAATTTTCTTTTACAAAATTCATCATAAAAAAATATCATTTGCTTACCCAAAAAATAAAACTCTTTTTTTTTTTTTTTTTTTATTTATTTATTTTTAACAAATATTTTTCTAATTGATTTTTTTAATCAATTTTTTTTCCTAACGATCTTTTCATTTTTTTTATCAATTTTTTTTCCTGACAGTCTTTGTACTTTTTTTTTTAAAAGAAAATACAAACAAAAAAAAATCATCAATTTTTTTTTTTGTGTGTGTGTATATGACCAACTTCATATTCTTCATTTAACTATTCTTTTTATTTTCCAAAAAGGTTAATAATGCCTTTTATTAACCAATACTCTAGCAAAGTCACCGAACACCCAGTTAATAAACCAAGTATTTAACAAACATACTAATATTGAGTACTTAGAGTTTATTATATTAATTTAATGAATTTTAATTTAGTTTTAATACTAACTAGAAAATTGTATTTATGTATATTACTTCATCAAAAATTTTAACTTTATAATAAATATTTATTTAACTTAATAAAAATCCTTATGTTTATTAGAAATTTATATCCTTGTTGACAATTAATTTTTAATTAACGTAAGTTTGCTTGTAATGTTATGAATAATATTAGGCAATTCAAGTCCATTGTATTAAAAAACATTATTAATTAATGAAATATCAATGATATTATGTAAATATTTCAAAATATAATAAATTTATTATAGTTATTATAAAATTTTCCTATGTAAATTTAAACAAAATATATAACTTTTTTAGTTAACTTTTTTTTTTAATTTTTCTACTAAAAAAAATTATTTTAAAAAAAGTAAATATATTTTATTATATGTTTTAAATTTACAAAAAGAAAAAAATTAAAAAAAATTTTTTTTTTTTTTAACTCTCATTTACATGGATAATTATTTATTTTCCATTTAGATATTCTTTTTTATTCTCAAAAAGGTTAATAGTACCTTTTGTTAACTATTAAATAAAAAGTAAATGATTAGTTAATTTTTCTTATTTTTTTTTAGTAATATAAATAAATAAAAAAAAAATATTAATTTTTTAAAAGATTTAATTATTAGGAAAAAAAAAAAAGAAAAATAGTGACTAAAAAACTTCTTTGTAGACAATATTTGTTTGAATTTTTAAAAAAGAATTTTATATTATAAATAATAAAATATCAGTGCTTTGTAGTATGCGTATATTTTGTTCTGTATTTTATTTTTTTTATGTTTGTTCATTTGAGATCGATGAGTTTAAAATACTAGATATTATTCATAATGTTACAAATATAACATATATAATAAAAATTGATAATTAAAGAGTATTTAAACATTTAATGAAAATAAAGGATTTTTGTTAATGTAAGAAAATGTCTAATAAAAATATAAAATGCTTAATGAATTATGCTATATGTAAGAGATTTTACTGGTTAATATAATTTAAGTGGTATTTTAATTTATTAAATTAGTTGATGTAACTCTATTCTTTATTAATTTTTTTTTGTTAAATACTGTTGTTAAGTCACTAAACCTATAATTAATGAATAATTAATAAAATGCATATTAAATTATATAAATACTACAAACACGAAAATTCTATTCTTGTGCTATATAATTCTTTCTTAAAATATTATAACAAAATTAATTCTCAGGAATTATCATTTTTTTTCTTCCCCAATAGTTTATTAATTGCCTATCCAATGACTTCGATAGAATACTCAAAAATCAAATTAATAAATAGCATGTTGATTTATTAACTGGGTGTTCGGTTACTTTGCTGGAGTACTGAACAAACAAATTAATAAAGAGGATGTAAAGTTGTATCTATGGTTTTGATATATTTACATATATTTTTAAATGCTTTGAACGAGTGATCCTTAATTATATGATCTACTTTATCCAGTATTCTTTAATTTCAATAGGCATATATTTACTTTAATAACAATCTTTATTTTTATTAAAAATTTATATCCTTATTGAATATTGACTATTAATTAAATGTATATTACTTATTTCTTTGTTATAATTTATGTCTAGCAATTTAAACATATTGATGTTGAATTAAAAAACATAAACAATTAGTAAAAATGAAAATTAATTATATAAATATTAATTACGTGAAAATTTTATTATTATGTGTATAAAATTTTCTCTTACAAATTAAAAATATAAATATTATGTAAATTAAATTCTTTTGTATGTTTAATATCTCATTCTTATTGGTAACAAATCTTTTTCCAATTGTTTTTTTTTTTTTATCAATTTTTTTTCCTTACGGTCTTTGTAGTTTTTTTTTTTTAAAAGTACAAACAAAAAAAGTTGATCATCATTTTTTTTTTTGCATGTGCATAGCTAACTACATATTCTTCATATAACTAGTCTTTTTTATTACCAAAAAGGTTAATAAAGGTTTTTATTAACCAGACATGTATATTTTCCAGTTAAAAAAAAAATAAGAACAACCTTTTTTTTTTTTTTTTTTTTTTGTAAGTTCTTTTTTTTAAACATATTTTATATTTATTTATTTTATTTTTAAAGGATTAATAATTGTTAAGAATTAATTATTTTGTTGTTAAATGAATTATTTTTAGAATAATTAATAAATTATATGAAAATATTTAAACTAAAATAAAAAGGATTTTGCTTATAATAATATTTAATTTTCGAGTATATTTAAAATTATGTTAATGAATTTATTTTAAATAAATATTTTACAATAAATAATTTTAAAAACGAATAATATTTTTAATAAATATATGGATAACTTTTACTAAAGCAAATAAGTTCATTTAAAACAATAAATGTTTAGTAATGTAAACAATTTGTATAAAGTTTATCCTTTTGTAGAATTAATATAATTTTTACACACGATAAAATTAGTAGGAATTACTCGACATGCTCTATCTATTTGCTTGCTCAATACTTTAGAAATTCAATGAACAGAATATCATTAATTCAATAGAAGGTATTTACTTAATTAATTAAAAAATTTCCCTTATTTTTATTAAAAGTTAAATATTCATTATAATTTTATTTGATCATGTATTATGTAATATTATCTATACAAATTAATGATTATCTGATAAAATATTCATAACTTTTTCTAAAATTTCTCATAAAAGAAAATAAAAAAAAAGTTATAATAAAATATAAAGATAAATTAAATGCATTTTTTTTTTTTTTTTATTATGGAGCCACCTAACAGTTATACTTCTTTTTTTAGCCAGTTATATAAGGTACTATCATAAATATATAGCTTGAATAACCTTTTTTATTACTTATATTTTATTATTATTTTATGTTGGAATAATAATATCCTTTATAAATCATTCCTCAATATACAAAAAAAATTACATTAACAGGTGGTTAATAAAAGGCTTTATTAACCTTTTTTAAAAATAAAAGGACTAGTTAAATGAAGAATACGATGTTGGTCATGCACACACAAAAAAAAAATGATGATCAACTTTTTTTGCTTGTACTTTTAAAAAAAAAAAAGTACAAAGACCGTTAGGAAAAAAAATTGATAAAAAAAAAAAGCAATTGGAAAAAGATTTGTTACCAATAAGAATGATATTTTAAACATACAAAAGATATTTACATACAAAAGAATTTAATTTACATATTATATATATTTTTATTTTGTAAGAAAAAATTTTATACATATAACAATAAAATTTTCATGTAATTAATATTTATATAATTTCTGTATTGTCAATAATTGTTTATGTTTGTTAATTCAACAGCAATATATATTAATTGCTTAATGTAACTCATAACAAATAAACAAGTAATTTACAATTAATTAATAATTAATGTTCAATAAGGATTTAAATTTTTAATAAAAATAAGCATTTTTTTTAGTAAATAAATACCTATTGAAATCAAAGAATGCAGAACGAAGTATATTACATAATTAAGGATTACTCGTTCAAAGCATTTAAAAATATATATAAATACATCAAAATCGTAGAGGCAACTCTACATGCTCTTTATTAATTTGTTTGTTCAGTACTCTAGCAAAGTCACCGAACATCCAATTAATAAAACAGTAGCATAACATATATGAAGTATATGTTTACCTATAAGTGGTATTATAATAAATAAAGTATTTAAAAATTTCATCACATACCCTCTACAGGTTTGTTTACTTAAATAATATAAACGTATTTGGATAGTTAATTAATAAATAAATTATATAAATTATATAGATCTTCTATTCAATAATTCATCAATTTTTCTTTTCGACACTTTTGTAAGAATTTTGAGAAAATAATTTGATAAACGTTATACAATGTAATATTTACTAACTTTGTCATAGTGCATAATAATTTTATAGAAAATAAAAAATATATGTATTTAAATGTTTAATTATCTTAATGTACATAAGATTTAACATGTTATGCTTACATAATAGGCAACAAATATTTTATGTAAAATAAGAGGAGTAACGTTATTAAAAACATTGTCTTTGGAATTTTAATTATCTCAAGTAGTATTTATTTAATAGTTTATTTGCATTTTTTTTTCAGGAAATATTTTTTTTCTTTAAAAAAATTATTTTTTTTTGTGAGATATAAATGAGAGTAGATATAAAAAAATGTGGATACTAATTTTGTAAACTCGAAAATCTAGAATGTTTCAGTTTGCATGTGTTCTGATCTAAAATATGTATAACTTCATTTTGTATGTTTTTTATCTTTGCAAATAAAAAGTATTTAACATTTTAAAGTGGATCAACATGTAAAATGATTAGTACACATATTTATTAACCAATTATATAGGCTTCTTAAGAAAAAAAAAAATATATATATATATTTTTTCATTATTATTAGTGAACAAAAATATTACTGAATAATAACTTTTAGATAAAGGTAAATTTTTCTGCTTAAAAATAAAATTATTAAATAGTATATTTAAAAGATTTTATATTTTTTTTTAAGTTAAAATATTTTTTGCTTATACTAAAATTCTCATCATGTATAGATATATGATTGAATTAAAGAAAATTTTAATTTTTTTTTAATTATAAATTCATTATTAAACTTACTAAAAAATAATTTAATAATACACGTCGATATAAATATGTTCATATAAATGTCATACATAATTTTTTTTATCTTTTATTATACTTCTTAAGAATGTATTAAAAGCATAAAAACTAACAACCATTTCATTGAAGAGTGGACATTAAAATGAATGTAAATTTTTTAAAAAATACAACTCCTATCCTAACTATACAATATTAATTTAAATCTATTTATAAAAAAAAACACACATATATACCAAAAGAATAATGTATTTCAATGAAGATATAAAATAATAGAGAATATTTTTCATATTTTATTAAAAAATGAAGGTACATTTTTTTTACTTTTGAATAATATAATCCTAGGTATCTTCTTGCAAAAAAAATTAAATAAGAAGTTCTTTCAATATTATTTTTAAATATACCGTAGAATTTAAGATTTCATCAATTTTTATAATTCATTTATTATTTTTTATTTTTTTCCTTGTTTTTATCAAATGTGTAATCATTAAAAGTGTTATAGATATTATGCTACCTACGAAAGAGTAAACATATCATAAATGAAATCATTAGAATACAATAACTCATTATAATAAGAGATGTTTTCTTATGTTTATCCCAATTAAAAAAGGCTGCCATATGACTTAAATAAACCAAATAGAGTGGTAATGACAAGAAAGCAAGGGAAAAAGCTAAAGTACGAATGAATTTATCTTTACATTTGCTTACTTTTTTTTTGCTAACACTATTTTCATTTGATATTTCTACTTTTGTTTCTGAAGATTTTGGGATAATATTTGAATGAAAAATTGATTTCTGTGTATTTGATTTTGTAATATCTTTCTCCTTTTCATCTTGTTTCTCATTTATTTCTTCTTTTTCGTATGCATATAATAGATTTTCTGTGGATTCACTTTTTGACTTTTTAAATATATTTTCTGATAATGTTCTTTTAACCTTTAAACGAAAAGCTCCTTCTGAGTTTTTTTTAATGTTCCAAGATTCGAAAGAACTCTAAGAATGAAATAAATATTTAACTTATAAATAAAATTTTTTATATCAATAAAAATTTATTAAAAAGAAAATTATATAAAATAATAAAAAGATATAATTTTAGAGTTTTATTGTTATCTTACATTGTTAGAATATTGCAATATCAAAATTAAAAATGCAAACATTAAATATTTTATAGAAAAAAATAATGAATTCATTTTTTTTTTTTTTATATAATTTGATAGTAAGGATATCTTAAGTATTTATAAATTTTTTTATAGATAATGTTTTAAGGATATTCTATGATATTCTAGATAATATTATTTCTTTTGTTCATTTTTTGTTTTTTCCTACTTAAAAAAATTTTTTTTAATAAAAATTAATTTTTATTTGTTGCTTTTTTTTTATTATATTTCTCTTATATAGTTTCATGTACTATTTATTATAACAATTATTGGTTTTTCAAAAAATAAAATTAAGTAATCAAAATTTTAAATGATTAAGAAGAAATAGTAAGTATTAAACATGAAAACATATTTTAGATATGCTATAAAAAATTTAATTTTCAATTTTATAAAAATTTCTTGTACTGACATAAATGAAATATAATTCATAAAATAATGCAAATAAACATTATATATTTAATATCATTAATTAAAAATTTGTTTAACAATTTATTTTAAGTGAAAAAAATATATTTTTGAAAATTTTTCATTCCTTTTGAAGAGAAAAAGGATATTATTAAAAAAATATTAAGAAAAATTTCATAACACCATAAATGTTAGTGGTTATAAATTATAATGAGATACATAAAGCTGCAGTTATTTATCATTAATATAATAAATAAAAAAGAAAAAAACAAAGCAAAATAAAATAAAATACAGAATAATCAAATAGTCATAAATTATAATTATTGCAATAACATCAATTGATTTTCAATCGTAGTTATAAATAAATTTTGGATACAATAAAATGGATTTTTTTTTTTATTCTTTATATTATTAATTCAAATTTTATTTTTGATCATAATTATATAACAATACAAAATATGTTTCCCAAAGAGCATATAAGAAAATTGAAATTACTTTTTACATGCATAAATTCTTTTTATGAATAAGTAATTATTTGATAATAATAGTACAAAAATTAAATAAAAGAGTAAAAATGATATAAATATAACGATAAGAATGATATATTTTTTATTATTAATTTATTACACAATATATAAATACTTAATAAAAAAAAAGAACAGAAATTCAAAATATAAATAAAAATGAATGTATTTACAATAAATGCTTTTATAATAACTTTAAAAAAAAGAAGATTCTAATTTTAAAAAAAAATTTACAAAGCAGACATTTTATAGTATATTTATTGATAATAGAGTAATAGCAATTTTAATTTCAATTTAGAGATAATATGAAATTACCAGGTATTACATATATTTAATTATGATTTAAAATTTTATTTTATTTCAAAATTGAAAAATTTTCTATATTTGCATATAGAAATAGTGATAATGCTCCAATAAATGAATGAAAATATTTATAGTTATTATACGTTAAATCTTAGTGATTGCAATACGAATAATAAATATAAAACTAAAAAATAATTAATATGGGCAATTTAAAAAAAAAATTTAATAGTATTAAAAGTATTATATATCTATATATATATAATGACATATAATTAATAGTAAATCTAATTAAAAATATATTTTTCTAATAATCTATTCATATAATTATAATAAAAAAAAAAAAAAAAGTTAAAAAAAAAAAAATTATAGTATTCTTGTTATAATTATTATAAAAGAATAAATAAAAAATAATATTTTATTATATTAGAAAAACAAAATATATATATATGAGAAATGATCATATATAATAAATACTTTTTAGTAACACGAAAATTTTTATTCAATTATACGTATGAAAATATTATGAATATTTATCATCACTCCTTGAACATATAACAATAATATTTTATAGCGTTATAACATCGATGTTATTTTAATATAAAAAATTATGGTATTTTTCTTTTTTTTTTTTACTCTCTCAATACAAATAAAAAATTAAAAAAAATAAATTAAATTATTATTTATAAATATTTTTTTTTATCTTAGATATAGCGTTTATTTCTTTTTTAATCTTTTATTTACCTACATTAATTAATTAAAATGATATGTAACTTATTAAAATTAAATATTTTTTTAAAACGATTCAGAAATGAAAATATTTAATCGAAAAAAGTTTATATATATATAAATTTTATTTAGTGTAAATAGATAATTATACATAATTTTTTAAATGAATGTATACGAAGTATTTTTTTGCATGTTGTATAACAGATTAACATTTTATGCATAATTATATAAGTAATTAATTAAAAGAATATATCTTTTCAATGGGCTTTTGATTTTCATCATTTTTAATTAATATAAATACAAATATTTCCATGAAAAGATAAAAGTCAAACTTAAAATTTAGAACATAAATAATAGATAACATCTTATTACAAATATAAATCTGAATTTTGTTATTTTCTTTTTTTACTCCATTTTATCATAAAATATATATTAACTCATTAAAATGGCAAATCAACATTTATGTAGTAAATTCAGAGATTAAGTTTAATTTTTTAATTATCACAATTATACACACTTGAATATATAACATTAAAGGGATATAAAATGAACATTAAACACACCATAAAAAAAATATCTTTAATAAAATATTATAATATTATTATTCTTTTAAATATACCATTATAATTAATATTCACTTTAAGTTATGAAAAAAAAAATACAACTAAAGAAAAAAATTCATCATATAAAATAAACATGAATAAATATACTAAATAAATATAGGTAAAATTCTTGGGTACTTAGGTTTAAATACAATATAACGCTTTTAGCAAATTTTTAATTTATCCTTATTATAATTTATAATATAATGATATTTTCATTTAATTTTTTATTTTTTATAGTAACTATATACAAATAAAAAGTTTAATAAAGAATTTTGCTAAACATAAATATTTATTTTTATAAATTTTCACTAATATATATATATATATATATATATGCATCAATAATTAAGGATTACTAATATTTTAAAAGATCATAAGAATATTAATGTAAAAATAAGATATATTTGCACATATATTGCATATTAATGAATTAAACAATAAACTATCTAAAAAGGATTCAATGATTAATTTACTAATTGTTTATTAGAAGAACTTCATAAAATTTTTAGTAGAAAAATGAATAGCATAAAATAATTTAAACTAATTTTCCTTATTATAAATATATTTTTGTTATATATAAACTTATAATTGATTTATATAACATGCAACAAATAGTTTTATTTCATATAATATCTATAATTATTTAAATAAAAATATATTAATATTTTAACTATTTATTACATATTACTTACTTTATAAGACTCATTTATCCAATTTAACCAAATACGTTATTTTTATTAATACTTATATACATGTTATAAAATTCTTTAATAACACATAAAATATTTTTATTGTCTATGAATTTATATTACCATATAAAAAAAATAAATTCTCATAAAAATAATAATAATTGAAATTCACTTAAAAATAAAAAGAATGTTTATATTTTTATTTAACATAAATAACTCTTAACAAAAAATAAAAAATTAAAATTAAAATATAAATATAAACGAATGTATAGAATTAATAAAAAAAAAAAAAATTAAGCCTTTATTTTAATTTTTATAAATACTCTACAATAATCTTGACTAGTTAATATATTTGCTTAAATATTTTAAATGAATAGGTAATTTATTATATTACGTGATAAATCTAATTTTGATTCTTAAAAAGGTTAATAATATTTTATTGACTATTGATATAAAAATATAATTTTCTTTTTAAATTATTTTTTTTAGGAATAAAAGAAGAAAAAAAAATTTTTGTTTTCTTTAATATTTAATTAATGATTTATTAACTGGGTGTTCGGTGAATTTGCTAGAGTACTGAAGAAACAAATAAATAAAGAGCATGAAGAGTTGCCTTTACGATTTTGATGTATTTATATATATTTTTAAATGCTTTGAACGACTGATCCTTAATTATGCGATCTATTTCATTCAGCATCCATTAATTTCAATAGGCATATATTTACTTTAATAACAATCTTTATTTTTATTAAAAATTTATATCCTTATTGAATATTGATTAATAATTAAAGGTATATTACTTATTTCTTTGTTATGATTTATATCCATCAATTAAAATATATTGCTGTTTAATTAACAAACATAAACAATTAGTAAAAATGCAAATTAATTATGTGAATATTAATTATGTGAAAATTTTATGGTTATATATATAAAATTTTCTCTTACAAATTAAAAATATAAACACCATGTAAATTAAACTCTTTTGTATGTATATATCCTTTGTATGTTTAAAATCTCATTCTTATTGGTAACAAATCTTTTTCCAAATTTTTATTTCACCAGTTTTTGGACAATTAATTCTTTTTAAAAAAGATGAATATATTTTTTTTTTATGTATTTGAATATATAAAAAGAAAAAAAAAAAAAATTAATAAGATTTTTTTATTTTTTTTTTTTTCCAGCTTGTTCATGGCTAACTACGTATTCTTCATATAGCTAGTCCTTTTTATTACCAAAAAGGTTAAAGCCTTTTATTAACCAATCGCACATAGGTGTAGCTATTAATTTTCTATTTTCAGTTTTAATTACTTTATGTTATAAATATCAATAAGGTTTTTATTTATTATTATCACCATAATGTTTCAGCACATTTCGTTAATAATCTAATAACTGTATAAAATAACATTATCAACATTAATATCTATACTTGCTCCAATGATTTCCTCTTCAATATATTTAAGTCTTCATTCATTTATTTCAATCTATTATTTAAATAAATTATTATCAAATTTAAAGTATTTTCCTGCAATAATATTTAAAAACTAGAACATATATAATCCATTCTAAAAATAATAAAATATGATGTTTCTTCTACAACTCTGTGAGGTGTATTATTATTTATCATTAATACATTTTTTATCATTTCACCAACCGGTATAACTTTTACTACATACATTGTCTCAAGTATATAATTAAGACTATTACGAAATCTTTCATTAATACCATTCCATTGAGGATAATGAGTATTTACATGGTACAATTTTATTTGTAATTATCCTTTAACCCATTTCTGAAGTTCTTAACTCATTTATATAGATCCACGATTTTTAATAATACTACTTTTAAATCCAAATAAAGAAATTTAGATGTTTGTAATCATACAAATTGTATCACTAGTTGTGCATTATTTTCTAGTAACACTATTTAACATAAACAGTGAATAGTGATTTATAGACACCTGAATATAGTAGTTTTCTTCTTTCCACGTTTTGAATCCAATGATATCTAATGAGACCATATAAAATATATTAGATTTTAATAATTACTCGTTATTAGGCTTAAAAATTTTATTATACATTACCTAATAAACTAAACAATTCGTGATATATTTCTCAATATATCGAATAATAATTATCCATCAAAATTTTTGTTGAATTTTCTTTAAAGTTTTATTGACTCTACAGCATCCAGTAAATTTACTATGAAAGAAATACATTAAATAAATTTTATATCTTCCTCGTATATATAACTATTCTATTTTATAGTGAGTAGACAAAAAATTTATATATACAACATCTATTGGAATATTAATTTTCTCTTATAATATCAATCATATCTTGATAAGATTTAATAACACAAAAACTTTCATAATCCTCCAATGACTTAATGCAGAATAAAATTATGTAGTTAAGATTAGTGTCATTATTTATTGATTTGATTATTGGTTAATAAAAGGCTTCATTAACCTTTTTTGATATAAATAGGACTAGCTGTGCGGAGAATACGTAGTTAGTTGTTCTAACTAAAAAAAAAAAAAAAATTACTGGAAGTTTTTTTGAGATATGTTTCTTTTGAAAAAGATAAAGATAAAAAAAAAAAAAACAGAAAAAAAGATTGATTATATTTTTTTTGAAAGAGATTTTTATTGAGAGGGAGATTTTTTTTTTACAAAAGATAATAATGATTTTGTAAAGAGTTTAATTTGCATAATGTTTATATTTTGAAATGGTGAGAGAAAATTTTATACATATGACAATAAAATTTTCATGTAATTAATATTTATATGATTTTTGGTATTGTCAATAAGTGTTTATGTTTGTTAATTCAACACCAATATGTTTAAATTGCTGAACATAACTCATAACAAAGAAATAATTAATTTACATTTAATTAATAGTCAATATTCAATTAGGATTTAAATTTATAAAAAAAATAAGGATTTTTATTAAAGTAAATAAATGCCTATAGAAAGTAAAGAATGTTGAACGAAGTAGAGCACTGATTTATTAACTGGGTGTTCGGAGACTTTGCTAGAGTACTGAACAAAACAATTAATAAAGAGCATGTAGAGATGACTCTACGATTTTCTTATACTTATGTATATTCTTATATGCTTTGAACGAATGATCTTTAATCATAAACTACTTCGTTCAGCATTCTTTTGCTTCAATAAGTATTTATTTACTTTAATAAATAAATCCTTATTTTATTAAAAATTTAAACACTTATTTAACATTAACTATTAATTGATTATAATTATTAGTTTATTCATTACAAGTTACAATCAGCAATCATTTTATATTGCTATCGAATTAACAAAACACAAATACTTATTAAAAATGCAAATAAATTATATGCATATTAATTACATGAAAATTTTATCTTCATATGTATAAAATTTTCTCTTATAAATTCAAAATATGAATATTATGCAAATTAAACACTTTACAAAAATATCATTATCTTCTTAAAAAAAATCTCTCTCTCTCTGATTTTTTTCTCTTCTCTTAAAAAAAAATAAATTAAATCTTTTTTTTTATTTTTTTTTTTTTATCTTTATCTTTTTCGAAAGAAACATTTCTCAAAAAAAAAATCCAATAATTTTTTTTACGAATACCTTCCCAATGTTTTTTCAATACAATTTTCTGCCTTTCTAAAGCAATATTTGTTATTCTTTCTTCATTTTTTTTTTCCAACATTTTATTGTTTAATTCTTTTATATTTTTCTGTTCGTTATGTTTCCATTCTAACATTAACTCTACAAACCATTTTTCTCTTTTCCATTTTTCTATATCCTCTTTTTTCTTTTCTAATAAAGAATTCCAATTTCTTTCTTCTTCTATTTTTTCTAATATATTTAATTCTTCATGTAAATTTTCTTGTATTTTCATTTCATTCCTAATTATATTAAAAAAACCTTCTATTTCTCTTTTCATCTCTTCTTTTTTATATTCCTCTAATACCGTCATATGTATTTCTATTAACACTTTTTGTATCAACTTTTTTTTTTTTCTAGATTTCTCTGTTTCCTCACTTTTTTCTTGTTCTAACTCCTTTATATTTTTATGAATTTCCTTTATTTTCTTCACATCTCTTTTAGTTAATTCTTTTTCATATTCTTCCTCTTTTTTATATTCGTCTAACAAATCATTAAACCATTTGTCCTCACTATGCTCTATAAACCAAATTCTTTGTTTTTTTAGCCATTGTTTCCATATTTTTTTTTGTTTTTCTAACATAGGATTTTCTCCTGCATTAATCTGTATTATTTCTGATTCATTTATTGTTTCTCCGTAACATTTTTGTTCATTTTCCCATTCTTTTTTTAAATTAATAAACCATTCTTCTCTTTTCCATTTCTCTAACATACTTTTATTTCTTTCTACCCATTTTTTCCAAAGGAGTTTTTGTTTCTCTAACATTATTGTACTAATGTTTTCTTCTTCTTCTCCCATTAATATTAAATCATTTTCTATTTTTTTTGTATATTTTTCTTTGTCTTCTTTTTTAAATTCTTCTAAGCAGGCTTCTAAAAATTTTCCTCTATTCAACATCCACTCCTCTTTTTAAATTTCTCTAATAATTATTATAATTTATAAAATATTGAACTTATTTTGATAATTATGTAATAATTTAGTAAACTATTTAATTTTTATCAGTAAAATGAATTCAAAATAAAAATATAGCAAAATAAATGCACACGCATTGATGGTTTATAATAATGTTAGCAAAGAATTAAAAGTTCTGAAAAAAAAAAAAATTAAATATGAATATAAAATTCATATTTTTATAAAGAAATTTGAGTTCAAATTATTACAGTTAGATTAAGTGCAAGTTATATATGTTTGATTTTTATTTTAAAAATGTTTCAACTTGAAATTTGAATATTAGTAATATAAAGAAATAAAATTAAAATTTTATGCATGCATATATAGCTATATATTGAAATATTAAAAATAAAAGCTTTAAGTAAAAAATTAAAAGTAAAAACATTAATAAAATTATTGCAGTGGATATATAAGTTTAAATGATGAATATATTTTAATGATGATGCAATAACATCATTATAAAGAAATATGATTTATAAATAAAAAAAATATCAATGCAACAATTTTATTTATCATGAAAACCTGTTTTATAAAAGAAAAAACAGAAAAAAAAATAATGTAAACAATAAAGAGCGGGAAATTAAAAAAATAATGATAAAAAAAGGAAATTTTTCATAGAGAAAAATGTAAATAAAAAAAAATTATTATGAATCTACAGTTATTCTAGGAAGAATTATAACAAAATGTATAACATTTAATATGTAACATATGTAGTTTTCTTAATTATATTTGCTGAAAAAAAATTTTTATTTTAGAAACAATGTATATATTATAATAAAAAAAAAAAAAAAAAAAAAAGGAAAAAAATGCTATTTAAAATTTTCTCATTTTTATTCACTGATATTTACTTTTTTTTTTTTTTTCATGTATATATATAATTTTATGCTATTAGTTATTTATTAGAATTTTGTTGATTGGTTGCATATAATAAATAAAGAAAAGCATTTCATAATAAAAAACAAATACTATTGAGAATAACAGTAATAATAAATAATGCAATTGAACTAATTAAAAAAATAAAATATGAAATAAAAAAGAAATGTTAATGAATAAAAAGGAAAAGAAAATAAGAAAATTACCATAAAGTCTAATAGAAGCATAATTATATTAAATATTTTAATATTGTCACAAGTGGTATTATACAAAATATTACTTTAAAACTTTTGTTATGAAATATAAAATTACTTCATTAATTTTCATTCTTATTATGAATGTAACAAATTATTCATGCTAATTTAAGAAAAAAAATTTCTTATTATGAAAAAAAAATTANTTTTCCTTTCTATTTTGATTAATTCTTTTTCAAATTCTCCTTTTATATTATTTAAATTTTTTAAAATATCCTTTATTGAAATAATTAATTAATGTAAATTTTTCCATAGTAACTTTATTGAAAATTTTCTTATTTTGTTAGTATATTAGTTTATAAAAGAAAAAAAACAATAAAAATAATTTATTATTCATATATATATATATATATATATATATATATATATATATATATATTTAGTAAAAGTGAAGGATTATGTAATATTAGTATTAATGACTTCATCTAACACACAAAATAGTGAAGAAGATATTTAAAAAGAGAAGAAATTTATAAAAATTTGAGTTATTGTTTAAAGAAATTTAAATATTTAAATAAAATGTTAAAATAAAAAAAATTATTCTACTAGTATAATTAATTATATTAAACAATGTTAATGCAAAATAATTAATTTATAAATTAAGATTTCTTTTATTAAAAAAAAAAAAAAAAAAAAAAAAAAAAAAGCAATTAAGTAGATAATTATATACCCCTTATATAATTATTTATTCACAATAAATTAATGATATTTTTTATGTTTCATAGTTTTGATCACATCTCTCAATAGTTTTTATAAAACTATATAAAAAGAATAACTACAATACATTATAGAAAAAACTTAAAAAAGATGCAAACTTAATTTTTTTTTAAATAAACTTGTTACAAATATCATACACATTTTATAAGCACATCTGTTCTACATTACAGAAGATATGCATTTTCTATGTAGGTCTTTTATTAACTGGGTGTTCGGTGACTTTGTGGTTAATAAAAGGCTTCATTAACCTTTTTAGCTATAAAAACGACTAGCTATGTGGAGAAAACTTAGTTGTGCTAACTAAAAAAAAAAAAAAAAAAAAAAAAAAA